ACCTATTTATTTTTCCTCGATACACGTACTTATATTCATTCAAATTAACTAAACCCATACATTTTTATTTATTCTTTTGCCCAATGAACACGATCAATTCATACATCGCGCATTCCTCGTTAAAAAAGAAGAGATTAAAATATCGTCCCTCCCATTTCATTACCCCAATCTTATAATTCCTCCTCCTTTTTTCGCATTGTCAATTTAACTTCTACTCTTATTAGCTATAGAGTCGAAAAAATTCCCTCTCGCAATTGCACGCACGAGGAAATCTCGAAAACCATTCTCTCGCCTCATTTTTTCCCGCTCAAAAAAATATAGCTCCTCCTCCTCCTCCTCCTCGTTTCGTCGCGAGTTCAACAATTTTCCCTCGTCCAATGCGTCCGATGCACCGTTACGCTTTTCGAGAAGAGCAAGAACCAGCACTTTTACAGCCTGATCTAATCTAATCCATCGACCCATTTCGTACGTGTGCCGCTTGTTACAACGCCGAATTTTCTCCGCGGTGTACAACTCCCTCCCCCTCCCCTTTCCCCCCGTTTCCGCGTATACAGGGGTGGCTTAGGAATTCCTCTTGGGTCACCTCCCCTCTCCTCCTCCTCCTCCTCCTCAAAGGCCTTCTCATCTTTTCCAACCTTCGGACCGTTCCAACCCGGCCGCCGCCGCCCAAATGTGCCAGCCACCCGTTTCTGTTTGAAGAGGGAATTTTACAGTCGAATACACTTGATGCAAGACTGTTCGCCTCCGACTATCTTCGTCGGTTTATCGTATATATATATGTATAAGTATGTATGTATGTATGTATGTGTATATATATAATATGTTGGATTCGAAGGGGATGCTTCGTTATTGGAGGGGGGAGGGGAGGATTTCTTCTCTGTCTTTCGAAAGTCTCTCTTTTTTGGAACTCGATGGACGAGTCGATGGATATTTTTAAGTTTTTCTTCTTTTTTAAGAGAGAGAGAGAGATAATATGTGACGAATGTTCGAAGAAAGATTTTTTTGAGAAGGGATAGAAAAATATATATATATATTCTTCTATGATATTTCAATGGTTCGATTATCCTCCTTAATTATCCGTTTTGTAATAATGCAAGAATTAAATATTACGTTAGTTGGAGAGAACAAGGAGAAAAAAAGAAAAAAAAAAGGGGGAGGAAGAAAAGTGGAATCTGAGGAATGGGTGGCCGTTTAAAATGGCCCGACAGTCACGTAAAACAGATAGAAAGGCTTCTTCTTTGATCCCCCTCCCCCGCATCCAGCCATATTTCCTCAGCCGAGAGACGGAGCAACCCCTCCCTCTCCCTCCGTGTCATTCAATTAATTCGTAACTGCCCCCTCTCCGCATAAAAATACCGACACCCTTTTTTATTTTCCCTCCAGCAGGGGGAAAGGGGTGTCGTCGTGAAGGTAGCCGTGGAATTTCAAAGCTCTCTCGATGGAGAGAGAGAGAGAGAGAGAGAGAGATGCTCCGCGAGGAGGATACCTTCCTTTTGCTCCTCCACCCCTTCTTCCTCTTCTTCTTCCGATACTTCTTTGTCTCCGTTTTCGTTCTCTCTCTTTTTCTCTCCCTTTCTTCTTTTTCTCTTCTTTTTTTTTTTTTTTTTTCTTCTTTTACTTCGTTTAACAGTTAGAAGAAGAGTCGTCGGTGGAAACGATGTGTTTGCACAGGGAACAGTTGCTGCTCCCGTTTCTTAGTCGAGGCGAAGAAGAAGCAGCTCGTTCCTTTTGTACCCTGACGCTTCTGCAAAGAGACACAACAGAGAGAAAGAGAGAGAATCTCTTTCTCGGCTGTTGAAAACGCTCGTCTCCTTATATTTGCCGAGAAACACTTCGACGTCGTGACGATCACACGGGAATTAGAAATTTTTTTCGCATTCACAAGAAAGAAATTTAGGAAGAGGATTAATTATTGTGGAAAATATCGAAAAATCCTTCGTTTATCACGATCAAAAATTATTCGAACGCCTGGAAAATTCTTCATTCGAAATTCTTCTTACAAAAATCACGAGATTGTGATACATCTTTGATCTCGTAATATTCTCTGGAATACAATGGAATTCGTGAGAAGGAAAGAGAAGGGGAAAAAACGGGAATTCGAAGAAACGATCGATGCCACCACCTCGCCCACCCTCCTTTTTTCACCTCTCCCCCTGATTACCATATAAGAACGAAGAAGGATTCCCCCTTTTATTCTTATTTCGAGTCCTCCCCCTATCTTAACTGCCGCCATCCTCGAGCAGCCACTGCTGAACCGAAGATGATTCGTCTGTCGACGCGTTTCCAATGCTCGAACGCGTGTGTATCCGGAAATCGTGCGATACTCTCTACTTCCGCCCCTCTCCTTTCATGTGTTTTGGTTGAACGGGGCGTGAGCACGATCCATGGGACGAGTCGATATCTCTGTGTTGAATATATTCGATTCTTATAGTTTTCTTGCGTATCGTCGAATTTTAATCGTTCGATTAAAAATTTATAACATCCTTATGCGATTATATTGTTTCGTTCGATTATTAAAATGGCAAAAGTTTTAAAATTTCGAAAAAATGCTTGATCAAATATCCTTCCTCTTTGTAAAATATCTTTCAAAGATATCTTTTAAAGAGACAAAGTAAGAATGAAAAAATGTAAGTACAATCAAAGATTCGAAGATTAATCATCGAATCATTTTAACATTCGAAGATCGCTCGATTCCACTTCGATCAAATAAAAATCCGAACGCAAACATGATTCGAAATCATTCGAATCTAAAATCTATCCAGATCGGATACAAGAATCTCGAAAACAAAAAAATCTCGAGAAAGAAAGTTAAAGGTGTCTCTGAGGAGTAATTTGAAATTTCGAAATTCGATTCATTCCGTGGAATGAGAGAAAAAGAAAAGAGGAGGAGGGCTGGATTTGTCGAGGACAAGGAGGAAATCGAGGAAAGACGATTTGTACGTGCGATCGATTAAAACCGAGTCGACGATCCGACGGTGGTCGAGGCTTCGATTCGACGAGGCAAACTTAATTCACCGCGCTCGGCCGGATAACTCGTGGATTTTCGAGCAGATTCTACATTCTTCCACGATTTAATCCCTGTCGACCATTTAACGCGTCATCTTACCATCCCCCTGCAGCGAGAACGACCTAATTTCTCCTCCAGATCGTAAAACCGAGGATCTGTCTCCTCCTCCTCCGATCTTGTAGAAAGCTAAGAAAGCGAAAGGGTTAATTGACCCCTCTCTCCAGATTTTTGAATAAATTTTCCTCGTATGGAAAACGACCGATATTAAATTTTTCGCCTGTTTCGTTTTTTCGAAGAAGAAAGATAAATTTCTCGATTCGAATTTCTTTTCTTCCTCGCTCGATGGATAAAGATCGAGATGGATGAGGACGTGAAAATTCTTTTTCTCGATAAATAAAATATTCTTCCACTTGGAAATCGAGCGAGCTTCGTCCCAAATCTGCGCGAAGAAGCGGCGGAACGACGACGATTTTCGGCCTACGGCGCGCAAAGGAAGGAAGGAAGGAAGGAAGGAAGGAAAGAAGGCTCGCCTGGAAGGCGTAGAAGAGAATGGAAATCAATACGTGAAGTGAGCAGCAGCCAGTTTCACAGGGCAGGAGCCGGTGTCGGGTTTGGAAAGCCTTGAGACGTCGTCTGTTCATCCTCTTTGGACCCCTTTTCCGTGTTAAGAGAGGCCGGGAGGGAAGGGAGGAGGGAAACTTGGAAAGGCGAGGTGAAAGAGAGAGGAGCCCGGGTGAACTTCCATTCAGGACTAATGGGGTTAAACGCCTTAGCCATCAACCGAGGCCCCCCCTTTCCCCCATTCC